TGTAACGCCCCCGGAAAGGTTGTGGCTATCCGTAGCAACAGGTAAGCTACGAGGGGGAAAGGGGAGGGATGGCAAGTGTGCCTTGCTGCCGGGCTGACAGCCGTCAAGAAAGATTTGGATTGATGGACACAGGGGACCGGGTAGTAGCGGGAGCTTAGGGTTCATGGAGGTAAAGGGGCATAGCAAGGCCCCGTCCTGTCCGTTAACCCCGGAAGCCTAACACAAATCTCGTCGCCGGGATCACGGCGTGATGGCGAGGGCACTGGCCAAGACGGGAGGATAATTTTGGGAGGAACCTTGGTAGGAACCTTGGTGACAGAATGCTATGCTGCCACACTGACTTATCTCATCTGCGTGGACGTTGAGTGGTTGAGCGGCGTAGAGGATCCTAGCCATACACGTATTGCCTGTGGTGCGTTGCCCACCCAATACATGTATTTGGGTATGCCACTCCACGCAACGCATGTCGACGTTTGATGGAGGCTTGGTGGAGGAATTGACGTCTTGATGCCGTGGCTCTTGGCCACATGAGTGATATTCAGGTGTGCATGTCTACAGATACCTCCTAGTTGGTGGTAGTCCCCTACTAGTGCTTCCAACGGGTAGGATCAGGAGCCCCCAACCCGACGTGGATCGTCATTTAGCGAACATGGATCTGGAGAGAGGTGTTGAATCTTTATTAGAGTGCTGCCCCTCTCGTGGCACCCCTGAGCCTAAGCCGGAGCCTGAGCCACCACCACCATTGGCACCACATAGGAAGAGTCCTTCGGTCTGATGATAGCTTAGACGAAACGTAACCGTACACACCGACACACACCACTCTTGCTTCTTTACAATCCTGCCCATCCCCTCCCTTCAATCTCTACACTCGAGAGTCAACAACAGGGCTAGGCTCCAATAGGAACGGGCAGCATACGGCCTTGTTCGTTTCACTTTCTCCACGCACACGCCATTCCAGATCCGTACGAGCCGCTATGTTATTGTGTTTCTGACGCACGCACCCGTGCTTCGGCTTGACTCGTAAGCAAGGCGCAGTTTGGAGCCAGCTTTTCTTCAATACCCGCCCCGGCGCTGCCCAGTACGGGACGGGGCAGACTCACTCCCAGTCACTCCGAGAATCCCAAGAACCATCTTCCCCGTCTAGGTCACTGGTCACTGCTTCGCTCGCGTCTCCCTTCACGATATAACTCGAGTGGCTTGCTCCGCGCTTCGATCTTGGGCGAATGTCCAAGACCGGCCCCATTCGGATTTGAACTCAACCACGGCTTCGTCGCGCCAGCAAAAGCTTCCTCCCCGACGACAGACAGGACTGGACCATAGATACATCACATCACCACAACTCGCACTCACCTTAGTAACCTAACTTTACCTTACACTACATCCATCACTTATTCACGCTACCGTCGACACGCGAAGCCATTACCTCAGCCGTTCCGCTGCAGAAAATACCACAGACCATCTCCGGCCCCGGCGCTCATCTCCGCGACTTGCCTCTCCTCTTTCAGTCCCAACCTATTCACCATTTACCATCTACCAACCGACCATCCATCCATCCTCTCAACCCCACATATTCGCTTTCGGTCTCCTTGACCTGCTTGTCGAGACCTCCAACGACACGCCAAACGATCGTTGTCTACGGTACCTTTAGCGGACCGCGCCGCTCTTGAAGTGAAGAAGAGCCACATCTTGCTGACATCTCGTCACCGGTACTCAACCGATTCGTCAGATTGCCGCCTCCTTCCCCTGTTCATCGCTCTCATCGGATTTCTGTAGCAAGGGGGTTTGAGGTCTAGGTGTCCCCCCAAATCGTGAGGGTTCTCTTCCGGCAGCCCAAAGGCACATCGCTCGCCTGTCTGGGGTCCAGCCTGCCCACTCTTCATCGGACGCGAGGTTGGGGTAGTTACGGCAGTGTTGTCCCTTTGCGCCAATCTAGGATAAGAGCCCAGGTCTAAGAAGGAATAACGAAAGGGTTGCTTATTCTGCTTGCTGCAAGATGCCGCGCCTAGGGTACAAAAAGTCTCGCGGTGGCTGTGCAAGGTGTAAACAGCGTCGCGTAAAAGTACTTACCACCTTTCATCCATTCGCATACACATGCACACTCGTCAACCTCTCTACCACTCACAAACCATCTTGTATATTGAACGCGGCCCGGCTGACACTTCTGAACCCAGTGCGATGAGAACAAGCCGTGTGGCGCCTGTATCAGGCACAACACCCAGTGCAGTCTTCTTGAGGGCTCAGTGGACGGAGGCTCCGGTGACAACATGAGCTGGGAGCCGACATCCAATTCTAACGCAGCGGGACTTTCAAGAGTGCCGAGTTTCCAGCGAAGGAGCTCATCGCGAAAGGGGTCCAGCGGCAGCCGCAAGACGCAAACGCCATCAATCAGTCCGATAGACCACTCATTGACGCCGCCTAGTCTGCTCGAGGCCACCCTCAACCTACCAGCAGACTTCGTCAGCGACCGGGGCTCATCCATCGGAAATAGGAGGTCATCTATCGCCGCCTCGAGCCCTGACCCCTTTCCTTATTTTGTCAAGTTCTCAACCGAGCCCGTGGAACCGGTTCATTTGAGCAAGTGGATTACAGATCTCGAGCTGATGCACCACTACTCCACGGCCACTAGTCTCACGATGCCCAGGTCATCAGACGTGAGCAGCATCTGGCAGTTTGAGGTACCGAAGCTTGGTCTGACGTACATGTTCCTGATGCACGAAATCCTCGCCATTGGTGCTTTACATCTGGGTTATCTGCACCCGGAGCAGCGCGAGTCTTATGCCTTGCATGCCTCACAACATCAAAGCGATGCGATAGCGGGCATGAGAGAGTCACTCATGAACATCACGACCGAAAACTGCCACGCTCTGTTCGCGGCGTCGTCATTACTGCTGCTAAACGCATACTCCACTTTCCCATATCAAAGGGGAGCGCCCCATTCACAAGAGGCACCGACAGTCGACGATGTCCTCGACGTGTTCTTACTAGTGAGAGGAATGAGTCATATCCTATCGTCATTCCAGCCCTCTATCCAGAGTGGGCCATTTAGGAACTTCTTCACAGAGGTGGTCACTCCTGCGTCTACACCGTTGCTAGAGGCAGTCACACAGCACCTCGAGAACCTCCAAATAAGCTTAAAGGCATCCAGCGCCGACGAACCGACCAAAGCCATCGTCAGCAAAGAGATTGACGTGTTTCTCGGGTGGATCATGCACGCCGTCGAGACAACGGCGTTTCCAGAGCTGCGAGTGGCCTTGACATGGCCCATTAACCTCACGGAGGAGTATCTGCAGCTGCTGCGGAACCGCGATCCGGCGGCTCTAACTCTGCTAGCTTACTATTCAGTCGTCGTTCGCTCGACGGAAGCTACCACGTGGTTCATGCAGGGATGGGGCATCAACTCGGCGCGAGCGATAGTATCAGACTTGGATCCAGAGTGGAAAGAGTTGGTCAAATGGCCTTTGGCATTCATAAGCGATAGAAGTATACAACTTTAGTTGTTATCTAAATAAATCAAAGAACAAAACATTTAGACTACCATATTCCGCTCATGCCCTGATTTGCCTCGTCGGAGATCACACTAGCTCTGCAGATTTGAGAGCAGAGTCCAGACAGTCAGGGCTACCGCGGGTCCTACGAGCCGTGTACGATGATCCAGTGCTATTCTACGACTCGGCGGTGTCGCCAGATTCCGCCGCCAAGTAACAGCTGTTCCGTTGTTCAACGTCTACCCGATTACCCGTTCGTCTACATCTTTTAGGCTCGAAAGTCTAACGAGCCGATCACCAAAAGCCTAAAGGTTTCGGCCGAGCGGCAGCAGAGCGCATTGCGGGCTACAGTGGTCCGGAGATGTCTTGGCGACTAGAACTCGTTCGACCTACCTACTTAGGATAGAACTCATTAGCATTGAAGGTAAGGCATATTCAACTACTTCGTACAGAAGCTACTAGGAACACAAATGAGCTGTAGAGTCAGAGTGTGAGCGATCTGAAACGATCAAAACAGGAACAGACGGGTTGTACCTCAAACCCCGAAACCGAAACCGAGGTAGGTGGGTGCGCCTGGTTTGGTGCTACGACTAGTGGGGGTGTTGCGAATGTGCGATCGTCCTGGAAGCTTAAGTGATCCGACCTTGGGGTAATACCTAGCGGAAAGTGGGAATGGTAAGGCTGATTATGACTCTGCCGCCAGGTCTAAACACTGCTTGACGCGCTGCATAAGGCTCGTCACTACCTTTGTAGCCCGTTGTCCCCCGGAGAATTTGTCGGCAGGCTGCAGCTAGGGGTCGCCGATGACATTGGATCCTAGCTTTTCGCTCGAAAAGAAGCCACATGATGACCATGACGTCTGAAGGGATAAAAAGCTTAATGATGCTAACTGACGCCGCGGACGGCAATAGTCGGATGAGGATGAGGTCTAGACGCGTCTAACGCGTGGGACTACAACTATGGAAAGCGAGGTGCATCTTCTCTGACTGGCCAACTTAACAAGTCTTAGCCTCTCCGGTTCTGCGGTCATGCCGATGAATCTTGACGATGGCAAACTTGCCAAGTTGTTCTCGGAACTTCCGTGCCTATTCAAACATCTCCTTGGGCAGAAGAATTCTACGAGTCTTGCTGCTTACAGCGAGGGCGGCCATGTTGCTGATGAGCTGTTTGCTCTCGCATTCAATAACGTTTCCTGGCAAGGCTCTCGACGTACCTCCTTGGAGCGGATTCGAATTGGCCCTCTCTCAAGTAACCTCATTATCGCCGCTAACATGTCAATTTTACCTCCTGGTACAGGTACAGACGATGAGACGAACGATTAACCTCATAGTACGATTAGCGAATATTCCAGACGAACAGACGAAAACGGATACACATCTCTCTATCCAGACAACATTGACAAAGCCTTCGAAGCGCGGGTGACTGTTGGACTTCAATTGTTGAAAGCAATCAGTACAGTCGAGATCATATTTGGACAGCAAACTTTTCGAATATGTACAAGAATTGTAGGCTCGATCAAGCCCAGGTGTCAAAGAAGCGAACAGCCTGGAAGAAAGCCTCCTCCTTGCCGAACTTCTGTCTGGGGTCCGAAATATTGGCGCGAACGCCGAATCCATGCGAGGTACCACCATACACAGCGAGGGAGAAGGGCTGGCCAGTCTCACTGAGGAGGGCCTCGACCTCGGCACGACGAGCGGGTGACATGAGGTTATCAGTTTCTACAGCGGCATTGTCAATAACAAGGAACAGTCCAGGTACCCTTCTGCATGTGTCCTCCTGGGAGGAGAGGGGCCGGGATTTCAACGTACCGGCGGCAGCGACACTCGCGGGACCAGTGATGGCCGTAATCTCCTCATCGGTAAGAAGACTTGGGTGCGCGGCGAAGCCGACATCAGCGCCCTTGCCCTCGGCGAGGACGCGGAAAGAGTAGCGGCCTCCGAAGCAGTATCCCGTGACGGCGACCTTGCTCACGCCGAGTTCCTCGCGCAGGTACTTGATGGAGTTGGCGATGATCGGGTCAGTGACGTTGGGTCCGTGCTGCGCAAGGAATGCCGTCGTGTTGAAGCCGGGGATGTTGATATCGTTCGGGGCGGGGCTGCCGTTGAACAGGTCCGGCGCGACGGAGATGTAACCGGCGCGAGCAAAGCTGTCGGACAGGCTGGCCGTTTGCGTTAACATCGGTATTGGCACGACGGTGCCATATGGCGGCCCGAGGTCTGTGACTGGTATGAGGTACTCACAGCTTGTTTTGCGCGAGCTGGATTCCGAAAACGTCGGTCAGGTAAAGGACTCCAACAGTCCTATTACCACGCGTGCTTGGCTTGGTGACATATTGGGTCACTGCATACAAATCGCGTCAGCTCGTGCGCCAGATAGACGTCGCGACGAAATTGAAAAGACTCACGCCCATTGTACTTGACCTCCTCGCCAATTGGAGTGCCAGTGTGGGCAATGGCGGAAACGTCGGCAACGGGGCACTTCTTAGCAGCATTGGTCAGAGATACGAAGCCTAGAAGGGCTGCGACAATAGTTTTGCTGAGCATCTTGAAGGTTCTGGACTGGAGGTAAGTCAATCACAGAGCACGGCGGACGGAGACCGGATGGAGGAAATGGGACGGGACGGGATAGCCCAACATCTTTTTAAGATTTAAGCTTCTCCCCGTTCCACGCGTCTAATGATTACAAATAAGCCAGATCGGAACCTGTTTTCTTGGATGGTCATCCGCACGGAGATACGGGTGGTATCTTGGAGATATCCTTTGCCAAGGCGGTAGACATGGCGCAAGACCCTTGAAGACGTCATCCAATCCTCTAGCCGTGTGCTCCGCGTCTCCGCAAACACACCGTGAACGGTGAAGGATTGAGAGTTGCCGGGGCGGGGAGAAGGTTCCAGTCTGGGCCCAAGGAGGAAGCCGAGCTCTTGCTTCTCCGCTTCAGAATTGTGCGCCAATCATTGTGCTCGGTGCCCCTGTTTCGATGGTGGCTTTGTTTGCTTGTTTAATGTTTAAATGCAACATTGATGGACGTGATGATCCTTGGATTCTCCCAAGGCCAAGCCGTGCGGCAACGGGAAATGAGCATCGTTTAGGACGGACTGCCGTTATTCAGATGAGGGGTCCGCGTGGGGCAATTGCGACTTATCAATGGCCGGCTCGCTGCCGAATCGGCAAAAGCTTTGAATGTTGAGTCTTTATTACTAGTTCTTAGTAAGGTTTCGGTGAGGGTATTCATTCATCAGACTCGGTCAAAATGATCCAGCCTATCCAAGTCTCCATGACGCAGACCACCATGGCAGCAATTCTCTCTCAACAACCGTTATGCCGTATCTCAGCTCTTGAATACCAAGGCTGGCTAGCTTTCATTCAAGCTTCTTCTCAGACAAATCCTAAAAGACCCTCAGTAGTGAACAGCTTTGCGCAAAGCGTCAGAACCGCCCCGACCATGCAAATGACGCCGCCAAACACGGAAATCTGGTCGTAACCGTGGTACCGATTGAGCAACGCGCCGCTGACCGGTGGACCAATCAACACAGCAATTGATGCGAATGCGATGCCCATTCCCATATAGGTGCCGATATCCTTCGGCGTCTTTGGGCACAGGGTGAAGACCACGGACCCTCCTGAGATGATGGCGCCAGAAGTGAGACCATACGCTGCGGCAAAGCCAATGATTCCAGCCTCAGTCATTGCCTTGGGCCAGCAGAGAATCGATATGGCGGTTAACAGTCCTGCAGTGAATAAGATGTTGATGCGACCAAATTTGTCGCCGAGAACGCCTGGAATGATGCGGCCGGGGATCGAGGCTCCGTTAATGACTGCCACCAAATAAGACGCCAGTGACGGGCTCAAGCCGTGATCGATACCGAATGTCGGCAAGTAAAAGAAGGGGATGAACATGCCCACAAACATGAGGCACACGCCACCAGTGAGACACAGAAACAGCGGCTGTCGAAAAGCTTTCCAGATGAAGAACTGGCTCCTTCGAGGGGGAAGACGGGCCCTGACGGCGACGGACGAGTATAAGAGGAATGGCATCATGATGAAGCCGCATATGCGAACGGCCCAACCGAACCCCAGCGTGTCCAGAAGCTCTGAGAGAACGATGGGGAAGACGACTGCGCCCAACGAGGAGCCGGCAATGGCGAGACCCATGGCTGCTCCTCTCCTCCTCTTGAAGTATTGAGGCGTGGCGGCCATTGCTGGGAACATGATCAATCCGTTCGATAAGCCGCTGAGCACACCTTGAGCGAGCATGAACTGCCAATACTCGTTGCACAAGCTCGTCATCATCACTGAGAAGATGTATACTATCGCGGCGGGACGAATGACCTAGTCAAGGTTAGCATCTTCTCGATGGCGATACCAGCACGCCTGTGTCTTGTGTGCACTCACCCATGCGCCATAACGGTCAAAGATTGGCCCTCCTATAGCACCAGACGCAAACACCAAGAATGCCTGTATTGATCCGATCCACGATATGTCGTCTGGCGTATGGTTCGAAAGCTGATGGCGCGTGTAGTACGCTTGAAAAACGCCAAATGAGTTGGTGTACCCCAGAGAGCAGAACAGGATGGCTGCTGTGCCGGCCGCCACTGACCATGCTCGCGTGCCGCCTTCGGGGAAGTCATCTTCAGCCGACTGAATAACCTTTTCGTGTTTCTCCTGCTCGCCTGATCGTCCTTGGTCTGTCGATGGCGTTGACTTACTCTTCTCCGACTCGGCGTGCGACTGTTGAAGTACTTCCCCGCGACCCTCGCCCGAATTGGCTCTCGACGGACCGCCCTCGACGATATCCTTCACCTCATCCTTGGTCTCGGTTGGTTCGTTCATGTTTGCGTTGTTCTCAGAGAACTCTGTGTCTTTGAGAGATTCGAGAAGCTTGGATCAGCTCCATCCTCAAACTGGGCACAAACAAGGCGCGTCGCTGTCTATTGAATGCCACCAAGACCTCCCGCACCTCGGGACCGACTGCCCGCGGCCACCGTCACGAGATGCCCACCTGTGAGGCGTACATGAACTTTTGAAATCTTCACGCAACATGTGGGCTCTGTTTCTGCAGCTTGGCAGCTAGTCGGGAGGAACGTGCCAGTCTGAGCCCTTGGGACTTCACCGATCGACTTGCTTGACTGCGGCTACGGCACGGCCGAAAGCGCACGTGCGCCGGCGAGCTCCCGGAGGCTGATATGTTTACAGTCAGTTTGAGAAGACGCAGCCCAGCCCGACGGGAGCGCCGTTAGAGGCGGATCTCGCAAGGCCGTGGCATCTGCAAGCTCGTTGGAGGCGGTTTAGGAGTGACAATGACTTCATGGTTGGCAAGTGGCATAAGCTCTGTATACTTTAGGTTCATGACGCTATCCACGGTTTACAACCAACGTCGTCTGATCACAAACTCGCAAGTACCGTGCAGCACTGCAACTTTCTCAAACAGCACGTAGCGTACTTGGATCGACGCCAAGGGAATGCGAATGCGGTCCTCGACACTGCAGCTCCTGTCGATCAATAGTCCCCGACGCAGGCTGTACGTCTGCCCTCGCATGTTTACCTGTGTCATCATGACCAACAACCTTAAATCGATGAAAGCATTCGTCTGTCGCGTCCGCACCCATAACATGACTTGTTGCCTATATGTAACTCATGCCCCGAGTTACTCTATCGTTCTTTTGGTGTAGCAAATTCTCCTACACATTGCATCCTTCACGAGTTCACCAGAATTTAACAAGGTTTTACCCTCAGGCCTCTGACCCAGGCTTGGGGGTCGACGAAACCTTCCAGGCTTATCCAAATCTCATGGAAAGATGATTGCGCTATGCCGATCAAAGCGTTTGAAGACATAGCGAGCTCTTCGACAACAGTGAGGTGGCTCATCACAGATTCTGATCCCGTCAAGGTCCAACCTTATCAAATGGCGGGCGCAGTCCGTGTGGTTGACAGACTTCGGAGTATGGGTTGAAGTCATCCTGTCTCTTCGAAGTTGGGTCAGCTATGGTGCATGTTTCTTCGTATGCAACAAGTCTGCGCCTTGGTGGACTTGCAACAGCTGAGTTATGCTCATCTGCTCTTGAGCTCACTCTGTCCTTCCGAACTTCTCAGCCTAAATTTAGTCCAACATTCATTCGTCTGAGGTCCTGTAAACGCCCTGCTTGCCAAGCCGGCTAAATCTCTTCATCCGACACAGCTATACATTTACATTAGATGCTGTAGATGCTCAGACTACACCGTTGACTCCCAGACGAGTCGTTCCGCGTTCAAAGTTGTCAGGTTGACGGTTGTCACACGAAGAAAAGAGCAGCTCCAGACAACACCACGAGCAGGCAGATACTATGAGGCCACCAATGCTAAAAGCCCCGTTCTCTCCTTCCAACCATGACGTACCTTAGTGAGCGTCATGAGAAGCTAGGGTGAAAACTTTGAGTGTATGTTATTTGAGACTCTCAATCCTCCGAAGGCTAGGCCAGGGAGTGAGGAAGGTCCGGTGACAGTAGACTCAACGTTGAACACTTTACTAACGCGCATCATGTAATCTATACACAGATTACTTCGTCACATAGAGAAAGACTTGGAGAGCGTGTTGCATTCAATGTCCTGGTTCCGGCCCGCGTTTCGACTACTACGTACCTTGAAGGTCAGCCTCAGCTAGGCCACACGCAACTGCTCCAACCTACATGTATGAACATAACCAATACGCAAGTTGGTCTTCAATGAGAGTTCTTCCCACTTTACTAGGTTACTAGGCGGAGTTTGCACAACATGAGAGAAACGGCGTTACATCGCAGGTTCCAAGAGGAAGACACATTATCACCGGCAAAGTCACACATGACGAACCCCTTAATATGGAAAAATGGCATCACGAACGGAGCTACAACCTCCGCGAACCGCGATGTTTGCCCGTCTACCCCGCTACGGAACCAAGGGGTCACAACTATTTAGCCCCGGCTCCCCTGCGATCGCTGCACGCCGAGACTCACGCCGAGACTCACCCCGCAGATCCCCCAGACGCCCGTTCGGCACAGACTTCGAGCCAAGAGCAAAGTTTCGGACAACGCAACGTCTGCCGTCCATGGGCTGTCAAGCAACTGGTGGGTAGCCGCCTATCTTTCGACGATGCTGAGTGAGGCTTTCTGTCTGGAGGTCCGGTTCGCTTGACACTCCTCAGCACCAGTCTGCTGAAATTCCCGCTTGTTCCGTCTGCGCATTTCACAACCAGCCTTCGTTGGTAGTCGCCAAGAAAGCATACGATGTGAGTAATGGCATACTGTATTCGTGTCGCATATCCACTCCTGTCACATTGACTGACTCTAGCTGCGTAGCAGAAGGTAGATTGCCTCGACGGAAGTACTTGAAGGGTGGTTCAAGCCTCGAAACATCCGCATATACTTGTCGTCGTGGTTCGGTAGGCCATGGAGCTGCTTAGCGCCAATGGACACCTGGTACTATGCTGGAGGGTTCAGGAAGATACCTTCGCCGAGCCTTATTATCCACACAAGTCTGCTTCGACGTTGATCAAGCTCCGACACGGGCAAGGGAGCCCTGCCGGACAAGTTCGG